GTTATTTATCTTCAATGTTATTTTTTTTTTGTTTTTTTAGTTTTATTTTTATAATTTTATAATTATGCGTTTGTTTATTTGAGGATATAAGTATAACTTTTTTGGAATATTTAATTTATTTTTCTGTTTCGATGTTAAAATTTTATGACAAATTCGTAAAATTGCAAATTGTTGCGTTGCATCGTGCAAAAGGATCCAGAAAAATTAAGTTTACCACACTACGTTGCAGTATAGGTATTCTGAGAATTAAGTTCAACTTTCTAATACGAGAAGTTAAGTCAAGTTAAGCTTGCGAGAAGTTAATTCAAAGTTTAATAACACTATATACAGGGTATATATAGAGGTATGAAAATGTAATATTGGAAAAAAGAAATTATAAATCTTATTTATCAATCTTTAAATTACAAATCGAAAAAATTGAAAGATTAAATCGGTTTCTTTCTTATCGTGAATGGAATGAAATGGAATGGAGTGATGATCCAATTCTATTGTGCCATTTCTTTTAATGACATTCATCAAACATTAGACACCAAGATTGGTTGACTTTTGGCATTATAATTTGATTTATCTGGGCGCCCGGATGATATACTAGGATATTCAGATTGAAACGATTATGGTACTGGTTTGATATTCGATTGGCTGGCTATCGGTTTATTAAATCGAAACCAGGGATTCGAGTTGACTAGCTTCCTGTCAGGCGTTGTCAATTGGTAGCGAGATTACACGCTATTTCGAGACAAATTGCAGCGTTGTCGCGTTTATAGAAATAAATCGAAACGCTTTTCAAAACATTCGAAACGGACGATTTCTCGATTTGTGAAAAAGATCATCTTCACAAATTCGTTCGTAAATTCGTAAACACGACCCAAATTTTAATTAAATAATAATAAATTTTAACTAAATAAATTTTAATCGATATAATAATGCACTTACACTTCATTGTGTTGAAATATATTTCTACATAAAAATTTATTAATATATCAAATTCTAAGTAAATAATTATTATATTTTATAATTATAGTCGGGGGAAAAAAAAATTGCCTCGAAATATATTTCGTACAATTCGAGCTATCGAACTTGTATTTAAATTTTAACGAACAATAATTGTTTCCACGCGCCCGTATAATAACCTCGAATCAATTACGATAATCTGATTATACGTATCTCTCCCGAGGGACACTATAAATTAATCTAATTTAAAATTTATATTAATCGTTAGATCGTGCTTATATCGTTCCTTTTTTTTTTTTTTTTTTT